CGTGTGATTTCTGCTGGATGGGATGCTGGGGACGCAAGCACAACTTTTTTTGTACCAAAGACTCATTCTTTTCAAAATGGTCAAATATACGTAGATGATACGGAGGACATGGAGCAGTTAATGCTTGAGTATTATCCGCTAATATGGCAGAAAAGCCTGAAGACCAGTAATATATATGGTTGCACCGCAAAGTCCCATATTAGCGGTTCAACTAGAGAAAACTAACAAGAAATTACATAAAATGAAACCTTCTTAAAATAGAAAAAAATGGTTCAAAACATGGCAAGGAAACACACTGTGAATGGTGACACATACAGAGGAAACTGATTATTTCAAAGCTTTCATATCCAACTAAGCTTTTGCTGACCAAGCAGTAACATCATTTGGCAAGGCCGTGAGTAAGGCGTGAATTTTAAGGTGGTTCCATGATCTCAGTATTAACCAGAGAAAAAGAAAACATACCTACTTAAATGAGAATTTAAAACATGTCAACTGAACTTGCAGCTGATACCATGAATTGCTTCTCCCTTCCTGAAAGTTGTAACAACACAGTCTGCATGACCCTGGAGTCTGCAAGAGAATCTCCAGTCATTTCATTCTGCTCTCCATTTTGATGTGTTCACCAACAGTCTGTATCAATAATCACTGCTGGCATTAGAAGCCTTTGACCTTCAAAGAAGAGACTATTCGACAGGTCAAATGACTAAAGGCATCCGTGAGATCTGTAGTCTCAAGACAACTTTTGAGGCACCAACTCCTGACATCCTCCAAGGCCTTTGGAAGCCATGCACTTTTCTTGGGAACTGTCAGCTTGGTAAAAATCTCTGACCACCCGTGGGCACTGCCCGAGTGAGCCTCCTAGGCAGCTGTCTAGAACTGGGTTTCACATCATTCGTGCCTTCCAAATCTGTACATTGCATTGGTGTGAGCTGTTGATGATTCCAAATCTGTTAAGAGTCAGAGTGAGAACTCTGTGCTGGTTGCCCTGTGGTACCTGTTTTCTGACTATATACCTGCTGCCTATTTGTGCCTGGTTTCTGTCATACTTTAGATACTGACAGGAACAAAAGCAGAAGCTCTCTCCCCACTCTCTGTGGGGCCTTGCTGATAGCCTGCATATGACCTGACTGAGTAAGTTGTATTGTATCTGTATCTGTTTAGGAGAAGTTACATTGTACCTGGTCAGCAGAAGTTGTATCTGTTGAGTAGAAGTTGTACTGTGTCTGTTAAGTAGACTTTGAATTGTATCTGATAAGTACATGCTGTGTTCTAGGAGTTCAAGTTGTGTTGCATCTGATGACTCTACGACACCTGTTTTCACATCTAAGGAGCCCATATCTAGTAATATTTTTCTTTGGTTCATTACGTTTTAGATCATGTTTCTAAAGTCAAAACAAAAGTTTCCATAGTTGAGAAATATGCTGTTAAAAGAAAATTCTGAAGATCAGCCTGATCTAATATAATGTTTAGCCAAAAGAGTAAGTTTAAGTGCAACAATGAATGAATGAAAACCCAAAATCTCTGGAAATGTTCATTAAAATTAATAAAATAATGAAAAAAAATTTGTAGAAAAAAAGAAAATGAGTGTAATTGTCAGAAAATTCAGCCTTTAGTTATATCTTGGTGAAAGAAAAAGCGGGCTTTGCACGGATCCTTAAATTCTTCAACAAGTAACACTGTTTCGCCAGAAGGCAAAGCACTTGGACGACAGCTGCACACAGGGGTCGTAACAATTCTCTATCTTAAAATAAGAACAGAGTGCTCGGTTTGGCAGGACGTACACTAATACTGGAACGTCACACATGATATAGCATGGCCCCTGCACAAGGATGACATACAAATTCATGAGGCGTTCTTTATTTTTGCTTTGACAGACATTACTGTGGCAAGGGTTCTCTGACCTATTGATGCAACCAACAAGAAGCAAGTAATTATGAGTTCATAAGACATGAATTTACAAAAAAGACAGACTATAGAGGGTACCTGGTGAAGAGGGGCAAAAAGAAAGGGAAGCTAATCACCTAATGGAAGTAGGCAGAAGGTTCCAAAATTCCCAATCACCGGGTAGGATTACTGTCTTCAGAAAGAGAATATAAGGGGAGCTCTGGTGGCCTAGTGGCAAGGAGCTGCAACTGCAATCCCAGAGGCACACGGTTCGAATCCACCAGATGCTCTGCTGGGGAAGGAGGGTCAATCTCCTCCTGTACCAGTCAGATCTGATTTGACGGTACACGCACACAAAAATAATAAAATAAAATAATTTTTTTTTTAAAAAAGAGAGAATATAAATATACAGGTAATTAGGGTCCAAACCAAGCCAGTGGGTTGTTTGGTTTTTTTGGTTGTTTTTGTTTTCTTTTTAAGTTTTTTTATAATTTTTATTTAATTATTTATTTTGTGTGTGTACCGTCAAACTGGATCTGACTCGTACAGGAGGCGACTGTTCCTCTTTCTTCAGCAGAGCAGCTGGTGGATTTGAACCGTGCACTTCTGGGATTGCAGTGCAGTTTCCTGCCACTAAGCTACCAGAGCTCGTGGCCTGTGGTTTGTTCATTGCCAGTCACATGAAGTCACTAAAACCTAGAGTGGGTCTCACTTCACGGGAGAAATGAGGACAAGAAGCTGAGCTTCACAGTCTGTTCGTCTCATTCTTACGGCCAGGTCTGCTTGAGACAAGGCCACACAAGACCCCCTTCAAGAGGTCAGCCAATCTCTAATGTCTACGAACAACCAAAACATTTTATAAAGAGTATCTACGAGATAACTCAAATTGGAAATACTCTTACTCTTTCTAAGGCTTTAAAACTGTCTGTCTGATGAGGTATAAACCGTAAAGGATCCAGGTACCCAAAAAGTGGGCCAAGCTCTTAACAGTTCTGTAGCTCAGTGAATGAATGCATTGTCTCAGGTCTCCGTGGGACATTGTCATATCCCGAAACATCAAAGGAAGTGTGTATCTCTGAGGAGAAACTACGCCTCGTAAACATGAAGAACTGGGTTTTCTTTCTTTGCTTTAAATAAATATTATAAGCACGGCTAACTGAGCAGAGTAAAGGGACCGCTGGTGTTCTAGTGCCAAGAAAGTGTGCCACAATCCCAAAGGCACAACACTCTTTGAGGCCACCACCAGCTGCTCCAAAGGAGAAAGATGGGCAATCTCTTCCCACGCAATTCACAGCCTCTGAAAATATGCTGGAGGGTCAGCTATGGGGTCAGTTCCAACTTGACGGTACACAACAACAACAACAACAAAGGTCATAAAATGTTCACACAGGTCTCTATAGGCACCTAGAAAAACAGCAGGCAGGAGTGGTCACCAGTTATTTTCAAGAAAAGCCAAGTCGCAGAGTGCAGGCTATGCCATGTACAAAGAAGTGACTCTCAGCTTACAGTTAGAAAATGAATGACAATGTTTCCTATAACATTTAAAATGGGTGACATTATAGAGATAAATACAGCTCATCCATGGAGTTGCTTGTAATTGTTTAAGTCTTAACGCTAGGAAGTGGGAAAATAAAAATAGGACTTAAGAGCCATTAATTGACAAGTTAAAATAACAACTTAACGCTGGCCCTGCTTATTGGTACATCACAGACGTATTACTGATCTGTTAAGTCATGTGGAAAAAGGCTAATAGAAAAACCTAGCAGTCTGTGACACTTCTACTTTGCTTCCTCCTGTCCAACTCAAGACGGTCAGTATGTGGGTGCATCTTCCTCCTACACCTCAACAGCCCTGTTCAGCAAGAAACAGGGAGAATCTACACCCATATGACCAAATGGGGAACGCCTGAGTGAAAAGAGAAAATGTCATTGTAACGAAACCGTACTCTGCCAAAAATCAACCCAGAACAGTTTGACATCAATCAGAGCCATGTCGTTTCTTTTGTTTTTTTGAAAAAACTTGGATAGAAGACTGATATGAGACAAGGAGCGGGATGATAGGGAAGAATTAATAACCTCAAGACTATTCAAATATATGGCAGACTTGTAAAACTGAATCCAGGTGTGGACAGCCTGCAAAACTGGTGGCTTTGCCATAAGACCTTGATTCTTTGTCTTTAGTCACGTAAAGTATATTAAAGACCTTTTTCCCAGGAGGGGGAAAGCACCTTTCCTGGATTAGCATTTACCTTTTTAGAAACTGTGTTTCTCAATTGTGAGTAAACTGTACCTTGACTTGCTTATCAGGAGGGAAAAGGCATCTTTCCTGGGTCAGCATTTACCTTTTAAAAAAGAATTTCCGATTGGGGATGGGTGTGTCAGAAGCAGTGCGATTGGCACAGGACAGAGCAGGGTTTAGGGAGAGCTGCAGGGTCGCTACGAGTCTCAAACCACAAAATAACAACCCCACGTAAATGATACCACAACCTGTCTGCTTACTAGTAAGAATGCAAAAAATCCTGGAGCTGTGAATCAAAGCAAGACTGATCGGTTATGTCAATTCATAGAACTTAACTCTGTTTTAAAATTTCAACGACTTTTCAAGTCGTCATAGTGATATGTTCAATAGGTGCACGTTGAACCCATATTATAAATGGGTTTGACGAGAAAGATGACACAGCTATAAAATTATTACTTTAGGTATTGTATATTATACATATGTAGTATATATCACATATATTACACATAACAAATATTGCATATATTTCTATAATATCATATTACACTATATATGACCTTATTATCTTGCCCAATATAAGACCCAAGGACCCCCTTTGGGCGGGAAAGCAGTTTTTGAGCATTTCCTCTCCCAGATCTGTAATAAAGTGCTTTGGGTCCTGCAATCAGGCCGTCGTCTTGGCCATTTGACCCCCTAGTGTCCAGTAAGGCCGCTCTCCTAAGTCATCCCGTAAAAAGAGACCCGGTCTGCGAATGGCGGAGCGCGTGGAGGCCGAGCAGGGTGGACACAGTGGACACAGGGCCTTCACCGGCACACACAGCCTCCCCGAGGACGCAGGCTCACGATGACCACCACCCTCTCCGGCCCCGCGATCTCACCCGACAAACCACGTGCCCCGCGTGTCCTGGAGCCGCTGAGCCCGAGGTTTTCAGGGGAGCGGCGGCCGCCCAGGCCCGGGGGTTGGGAGTCCCGGGCACAGGCAGGGTCACGGAGCGCGGGGATTCAGGACAACGGCCTGCGGGTCAACGAAAAGTGACCACAAATAAAACGAGAAACTCGGAAACCACCTTCCCAGCACAATAGAGCGGAAACCAGAGCACAATCACACCAACTTCCGGTTTCCACCTGGAAGTGACCCCCACAAAAAGCCTTCCGGGTAGAAACAAGGGCTTGCCATGTGCTTCTGCTACTCGTGTAGATCCTCGAGTTGGGGATACGGGTATGGCTCGTCTTTGCAATAAGAAAAGGCCGTCGTCGTTGACAGGACGTGAAGAAACTCATCCCTCAAGCCGCTGCGGCATGAAAGAAAGCACGCGATGCTCCCGAGCAGTCGCGTGAGGACAATGGGATGATAAAAAGGACGTGCACTTCCCGTTACTGTAGGTGCCCCAGGGAAAGCGGTCCGTGCGGAAACAGGGGCGGGGATTGAGAGGTTCTCGTGCAGGGCAGCTCACAATACTGAAGGGGTTTCCAAGCTCTCAAAGCGCTGAGGTCTGCGAGGTCAGGCAGTCGGCTTCCAGGAGGACGACAGGCTTGGAGAGTATATGGGGCAGTTTACCTCTGTCCTGTATTCTATTTGATGAATTGTGTTAAAGAAATACTGTGATGCACTTTCTTCAGGGAAAGGAAATCCACCTGACAATGTCTACCACCATCCCCACCTAGTGGTGCAGGAAATACATTCTCAGCAAAGGCTGATGCTACTATGTCAACACTCTCTTTTTCTCTCCTTGGGTGGGTCATAAAACTGTTCCTAGGCATAAAAATTAACCAGATTATTTACTATATCCTGGAGCACAGGGACATATTTTTGTAGAGTCTGGAATCTTTTTTTTTTATGCTTAAAATGTTTTCAGAATGCTTGCTACCTCAAAAAGGAGCAGAGGTGCTTTTTATTCCCCACAACAAAGAACGACCATGTGGAATACCTGAATTATATTAATATTGTAGCAGGAGAGAAAAAACAAAACCCAACACCTAAAATATGACTAAAAATGTAAATATAATCACCAAAACACATGACTTTAACAGAAAGAGGAAAGATATTTCTTTAATGAGTGAGTGGAGCCATCAACAGGGTCAGGTACCAAAATAGCTGAAGTTCTCTGGCCTGTTTTGGATTCGCCTTATTAAAGGCAAACAGTGAAGGACTTTGCCATTGGTGGGTTTAAACGTGGGAACTGACAATGGGTAAGTTGATGTTAGCTTTTTACAGTTCGTGGAATGGGGCACAGGGATGTGTTCACCCAACAAACATATGAACTGTGTACATGCAATTAGATAAGAAACTTGAAAGGTTGCAGTTTTCCCAGCAGTCAGAGATCAGATCAGGGCTGAGAATCTCTCCTGTCCTTTTCCCTTAGAAATTCTCCTCCTTGCCAACCAAAAGCAAGACTAGATGAAAAGGCACAGTTACAGTGACTATTTCACAGGGAAAAGGAATTGGTAAAGACCTAGTTCCTTCCTTGTTTCTGGAGCCATTTATTTTGTAGTTCTGTACCAGTCAAACACCTCACGTAGAGTTTACTTGTGGTTTTGTAAAAATCATTTTTTCACAGAAACCTTTATATGAAGTCCGCATACGGCAGTGACAGACAAGGGTCACATGTTTATCTTCAAATTAATTCTGATTCAGTGTGAGTGGAGTGGTGGGAATGAGTGAGTCTGAGACGGCGAGGTTGGCACAGGATAGAACGGCATTAAGGGCTCTTGTACGTAGGGTCACTATGAGTCGCAAACAACTCGATGGCACATAACAACATTGTTATAATTGATTACAAACATGCACAAATAAGTTGTGTATAATAAATATTTTATTAAATATCTGCATGAAAATATGGTATATATGTTTTCTCTCTCATCAAATTTATGGGACCTCATCTTCTCAATCTGCTTTGTATCCTGCAATATCTTACACATGCTACATCATGCAGTGGAAAAAATAATTAATAGTCACAAGCCTAAATCTCACTGTGAAAATGTGGTTTCTTTTTGTCCATTGCTCTGCTGTATGTCACATCCCTGGATAGGAACATGCACACAAAACATGTCAATTCCTCATGATGGAATTGGTTATTATGACCATCTTACAGGCCCAAATTGAGAGAGTTTAAATGTGGAAGAAGGTTTATGGGCTTCCAGAAAGACAGACGAAATAGAGGTTATTGGACACATCATGCAGGAACAGACTGACGGGCAAAGAACCTGCAACCGTGCTTGACAAGACATCCCAACGGAAGAGCTGCACTGCATCTGGGTTCCAGTCTAGATTGTTACCTGTCACTTTCTGTTATAAACCCCACAATAGTAAGCATAGCTCTGTTCATTCTGTGTGACCATTGCAGCATAAATGCCAACACCCAAGCAGTGAGAGCCCTTGGAGAGATGTTTGGCTTAGAGGTGTGGGTGCAGGAGCATGAGTCAGGGCTGACCTCATGGCAATTGTGTTTATGGTCCAGATGTTGTGGCGGGGACCGTTCCTCCCTGTGGTCGTAGTGGTCTTCATACAGGGCTGCCTCTACCTCAGTCATATTATCTTAAACAGAAATCCTTTCCTCAGGTATTCTCAAACACACACTCTCTTTCAAATTTCTGTTCAAATATCACCCGTTAAGAAGGCCTAAATGTATATACATCTTTAATAAAGTCATATGCACTCTCAAAAAAAAAAATCTCCTCAAAAGGTGGAGGGGCCTTCTTTGTCAATACAAAAACAATATATATTAGAAGAAAAAAACCAACACACATTTATGGAGATGCAAACTATTAGGGGGAGATGGCAGGATTTTAAAGGGATCTACTCAGGACAAGCTTATGCTATTTATTGTAAAGCATGGTGGGAAATAACAAGAAATGTGTTCACAAATCTGTATGATAATTAAATTCCTATAAAGAAATCATATGCACCTGTTCTTTCAAATGGAGTCAGGTAGAGACAGCTCAGAAACAGTATCACTTATTAGGAGATGGGGGCATTTGCTAGAACAGTGTCCCCGATTCAAATGCTTCTTTCAGAATGTAGCGTGTTTAAAGGAAGCCAGCTCTCTGCTGACTGTTTTCAATAGGCTCCGGAAAATGTGATGATATTCTTGAGAGTAAGATAGTCTGTTTGAAGATAGAATCTCATTAGTACCTCAGACAATACCATTCATCCTCAGACCAAATTAGTAGCTAACCGTTGGACCTGGAATGCTCCTAGAGATCTGGTTGTCTGACAAGAGTCCTGTATTGCTTTGGTCTAAAGAAATATTGACCTTGATTAAGGTGGCAATGTGGACTAAGGGCAACATTAAATAAAGGAATATTTTCTCCACAGGGCCAATGGTAGCCTCAGGTTAAATGCAGAAGAGATTGAGGTTATCAACAATTTTAGCTTTGTTGGTC